TCCTTTCCAAGTATCAACTAGCTGCTCAGTGGGTGATGAGTCAATGATGGAGCCTAGTGTTGCAATGGAAGCTATAGAGCCTCAAGTGTGCCCAATAGAGAAACAAAAGTGTCTTCCAGTTGAACCAGTTTTACGGCAAAAATTTGAAATGTAAGCTGATGTTGCGTACTTGCATGGCTTATGTCTTTATTTTTAGTTACTTGACATTTTCAATGATTGTGAGATATTTGTGTTTCTGCAACTGTGACTGTCAGATGTTGGATTATGTAAATGAAGGAATACTCCTTGAGAAGAAACTAGGGAACACTTCCACTCCAGTACATTATTATGCTGATAATAACAATGTGGCCTTTGACACTAGATACTTTAAAGTTTCAAAATGTTATCCAGATTCCACAATGACCTTATATTCAAACGGAGCTGATCCTGATATTACTGTTCCATGCACTGTAACTAACAGTGAGGGCTCAATACTTTATAGTGTCACCACTGAAGTTCAAGATTTGGATCAAGTGTCTTTTCTTTGGCAACAGAGTTTTTTGATCTCTCCCTATTCTGGGACATATGGGTGCTGGATGACGTCTCTGTTTCTCTTAAGTAAAATGGATGGTTGCGAAACCTTGTTTGTTCACTAAATATTGTATAGCATTTTTCCTTAGCAACTACACTAAAACTAGAGGAAACATTTTAGCAGTTTTTAAAGAACATTCATTGCCGGGGCATAGGTTCATAAATATCATCAGGTGATGTTTCACATTCTGCATATGCTTCTTAATTTTTATTTATTTATTTTTTTTGTGAATTTTGTATGGTTCACATTTCACAGACTTGCATTGGAATATTATCATCACTTATATCATTATATTTGGTAAGTGGCGAGTCATAAGATAATGAGCTAACTTTGTTTGCTTGTCAGTAGCATATAAACTTTTCTTTCTAAAGGGAAAACAATAAAACTAACACTCATTATAGTAAACTATACTTTATAAAGCAATTGAATGATTGATATGAACAATAACACTGGCAGGTAGTAGAATACACAATACACCTACTAACACACTTAGAGCAACAAGCGTGGTGAGTCAAATAACAGTATTGGATGTGTCAGTGATGAATGAATCATTAGTGTTGAATACATTGTTATTTGAAGGAAAGCAAGTTGATGGTTGTGGCAGCTCTAGGGTCCCATTAACAATAAATGTCCATTTTCTATATCCATAGACACATACACCAAGAATATAAAAAGATGTGACCATAATTGACAAAAGGGCCCTTATGGCGGATTTTAAAATTGATCATTATAATGGAAAATATCAACCTGTGAGTGCTTTGTTAGACAATCATTGTTTCTAAAAGTTTCATGGTAACTTTTTGCATCCTGTGGAGTAATTTTATGATAAATGGAGCTCAGGAAGTTGGATTTCTTAGGCTAGAAAGACAAATTTCACTACCCGCCATAAGGTACCTTTTGTCAATTATGGTCACAGATGTATCAATGAAATCAGTAATTATAATAAATTTATTACTATTAATTGGTTGAGTAAAGAGATGCACTAATTGAATACCAATATAATTATCTAGCATTGAATATGTAGATTATTTATTTAAATCAACGGATTATCTTAAGAAAGGAATGCTAAGAATGTTTGGTAATTGATAATAATGATATCATTATCTAGCATATAAAAAATAGTATAAAAACAACAACAGGTTCAATGACCAGTGATGATATTATTGGACTTGCAATTATTGCAGTATTTGTAGTAGCTACTGCTGCACCTTCAACCAATGGTGGCCTGTCTGTCCATTCTTTTCTAAAAGTGTGGCTGATTTTTACAATTTAAAAATAGAAACCGTTTGCCACTATATACATTCACTTCGTACATAAGAATAATGGGATATGGCACACTTTTCACCATTAAAATAAAGCCCATACTTATCAGCTAGTATGCTTCCTGTAATATGTGAGTAAGCTACAAAGGCTGCTAATGTAATCAGTATAGTACAGTTTTAAGTCTAATCCAATGAGTATGTGATATAGTTCAGTATAAGTGACATCACAAAACAACACACTGTTGCTAATACTAATCAAGGTGATCCTGTTATAACTATTTTTGTGTATAATTAGATGCTGATTCTTCAGTCAGAACTGGATGCATCTCCATCATATACTGCTAAACCAACAAATATGCTAAAACTAATAATAATGTAAAGGCAAAAACAGCGGCTAACACTGATAGATTTATCAACTATAAAAACCGCATATTATGAGACATGTAATATTCCCAGTTCATTCTTAAAATTATCAATAGTGGTTTCTGTTTATCTTTCAAAAAGCATTTGCTTTAGTGTCTGTGAAAATGACAACTGTACATTGCTTTGCAATGCCATTTAATTACTGTCATTCTTATTATTACTATTATTACTATTATTACTATTACTCTATTATTTATGCTTGCATCAATGTATAGTCATTTCAATAATTGAAGTACTTTTAATCAAATATATACATTAATAGAAATACTTTTTAGTCTGTTGTAAGAAAATCATATTTTTGTATTAACTCATTAGCTAGTTTAATTGTTCTTAGAGTATCTTCCTCTCTGAGTATATCTAAGAATATACCAAATACTTTTCCATCCATACAAATGGAACTCAAAATGATGTGAAGCAATTCATCAATTCTTTCATCGTCACTTTCTCGCGCAACTATTCTTCTTTTTTCTCTAACATTTACAATTTTGTATTGAAGCAATTTATCAACTAAGAAGTGAATATCAGTCCCACAATCTTTTATTAGAGGAGTACATTCTGTCATTACTCTGTGAGCAATATCAGATCTAAATGTACCTATTAATTCAGTGATTAGTGTGTTATTATGTTAATATTACACATAATACCTTCTTCAGTCTCTCTCCTGGTTTGAATGATAGTAGTAGTAGAGTATCTTGAGCTAGTACTGTCTACTACACAAACAAATAATTTCAGTTTTAAAATCATACACTAACTGATTGATGGAGTGGGTGGAGGACACCGGTCAATATAGATTGTCATTGAAGGATCTATTCCAGTTAGTTTAATGGGACAGTGAAGCGGCTTTTTAGCAACACCAATTTCAGCATACACTGATATACTGCAGGTTGCATATGAGAGAGTTAATGGAAACTGGTCAACTCTTGACTGAAACAACTACAAGTGCATACAAGAAAGGAATATTTCTGGCTCCTGGTACTTACTTTCATTGGATTTCTGATAGGATTAACAATCCATCCTACCTGCTGTACAGTGTGTAGTGTCAATTCTAGAGTTCCATTTTGTTGAATAAACTTAAATGAGTCGACAACATCATCATATTCTATACTTGATGAGTGCTTGCTTTCTAAATGCTACATGAATGTAAAATACAATGAATAATTAAAATTTGTATGTGCTGGCACATGTACAGTGCATACTTTATTACCCTTTTAAGAACTTCCAAATCTCTAACAACAGAATACATTGCTTTCCAATGACCAGCTTCTTTCTTATCGTAGTACATCATTCCAGAATACAATGTATCATGAGAAGGTGCTGTAAAAGTATATGCATATATTATTGTAATGCATATAGAATAGTAGAATACCATTATTGTCTGAATGAGAATAATCAGTAGAAGATTGTAGTGATTCATCATCATTCCTTGCTAGACACTCTTCACTGGATACAGTAGCTTTAGCTCCATCAGAATTACTTAGTACATGATCTGACTGTTGTACTGTTGGTTTTTCAGTAGTATGGGATTCTACCTCATGGACTAACTGAGAAGGATCATCATTAATTGAGTCTATAAGGTAAAACATAACATGCAGTATACATGATACAGCTACATACCATGAGGTGGTGTAGTACTTGTTGATGGAGTGGCTGATCCTCCTCCACTACTATTCTCTTCTGCTCCATTACTGCTATCATTAGGTGTGTCTCCATTAGTCTCCTCCTCACTATCATTATTTGTTCCTATACATTGTACAAACACATCAACAGTAAACTATTAATACAAACACTATTGTATACTTTGAGTTTGTGTATCATTCTCCGACCCATTCCCACCTCTATTAGGTGTGTCTCCATTACCAACATGCCCAATACCAAGAGCACAAAATTCGTCACGTTCAATAGAACCATATCTGTTCCCTACACTAAAAGATCCTCCTTCAACTATACTGAACTGGTAAGCATTGGGAGACTTCAGTGGAGCTCTCACAAACTTGAGGCAACCAGTCTGACTAGTGTTCCTTAGATCCACACAATGTTGTAGCTCTATTACCAGTGGTTTTAATAGTGCCTTAGATACTGATATTACATATACTGCACTCACTAGCACAGTGCCTTTGGGTACCTTAAAATTACCACCAGCTAGTGCAGTAACAGCTACTTCAGTATCCTTGGACACTGCTCCTTGAGGACACTCTAATCTGCATGAATCCATATTTCTCCCACTGGAGTGAGTGAGACCTGTCTCCTTGTAGGATAAAGAGCTTCTGTCCAGCTATAATGACACTAGAGTCTAGTGAATCTGAAACAATACAGACACATCATATCTAATACCAGTATAGTACACAATCAATCATTCATATGTGTACTGTACATGTACATGAATAATTTACCCATTGAAGGAATCAGGTAATTAAATTGTAGTCCAATGGAACTAGCTTTTTTGATGGATTGTTCCTCTAAGGATGTAACTCTTTCCTGTAGTTGTGACTTCTCCTTTATTAGTTTGGTTGTATACAATTCATTATCAGACACTTTAGTTCTAAGGTCTATAAGTTTAAAAATATTATATTATTGATGATGATACACTAACCAGTAATGATCTGTTGCTCATTCTGTGATTGTTCCTCTACTTGTGATGTCAGTTTGGCTATAACTTTGTCTTTCTCAGAAATGTCAGTTTTGAGATTTTGATTGTCATCTAAACAATAAACATATCCTAATACATGCTGTGTGTATATAGTTAACTAACCAATAATGATCTGTTTTTCTTTAAGATACTGTTCCTCCAAATTGGCTACTTTGAGTTTCAGTTTCTCATAATCTTCTGTATTAATAAAAGTCTCTCATCTAATATTATGCTGATGATATACTGACCAGTAATAATTTTTTTCTTCTCCTCTAATTGTGTCTTCACTCCCAATATTTTAGTTATATATACTTCACTATCAGCAACTTTAGCTTCAAGCTTCTTATAATCTTCTATTATCAATAAAAATGCAAAAATAGAAAATAAAATATTTGTTGCTTGAACAAATTTGCACTGCATGTATAATAGTCCACAAATACATGTACATGTACAATCATATACTGACAGAACTCCTCCTAGGAGTACTGAGAGCATCTGCTTACCCTATACATGTATGGTATAAGGATTATTTTTAAAAATTAATCCACTAGTATTACAATGTAAACACTAAACAATGCACATGTAAACAACAGTACAACACAAAGGTACCTAATTCAAGAGATAATTTATCCTTTTCTGCTTGCTCAATGAGAGTGGTAGCATCATTAAGTTGCTGAGTAAGTGTTGCCTTTTCTTGAAGAAGCTGTTGCTGCTCTTTGTCTCGATCTTGCTGTATCTGCTCCTTCTCTTTTATTTCTCTTTGAAGCTGTTCCTCATAAAATTCTCTCTTTCTTTCTAATTGAAGACAATCTTGAAATATTTGAAGCTGTTTTTCTGTTCCTAAATTCTCCCAATCTTGCAGTATCCTTCTTCTTAGTTGATCTTGATACTGGTCCAGAGGTATTACACTATTAGACCAATCATTATCACTAGTATATCCTATACAGTACAAAATAGTACAGATTACGGCCATCTAAACCATTTTATTTTATAGCTAAAAAAATTGGAGTAAAGTTTTGACGAATTCGGCATATTAAGGTCTGTTTGCCGAAAATTGAATTCTCCAATTTGCAGGGCTTTGTAGCAGCATGCAAATTTTGTATGCTACCCTCTAAACCTGTTTTAGAGTCAATTTACTAAAATTTGAGAATTCAAATTCTTTAGTTATACAGTATATTAAATGCAATTTTTAATGATTATCATTGCATATTCAATGTACCATAGTGAGTAATATTTTTACTTCATGAGCCATGTGGTATACTTACTGAGTTCAGTAACTGCTGTATCAGTGTGATGTGTATCTCCTCCAAACTCTATTATCCAGTTAGTTGTTGGGGTTATACTCCACACTGAGAGAGAATGCCAGAATCTATTAGTGACATCCACTGGTAGATTAATCTATCAAAATTACAACATCTTACTAAAATTGTAACTGTTTTATTTAAATGCATAATAAAATATTATTAATATTACACAATATAATTTAGTGAAGTGTGTATCAATTTTTATTAAAGTATTCTAGCTGTTTTCAGTTTGTATTGTGTTTTGACATATGAGTTTGTGAGCCAAAACTGAGCCAAAACTGAGCCAAATTTTAAAAAGCAAAGGCTTTGTGCATCCATGTACTGTACATGTACATGTCTACGTGCATTTTCTTTTACTTATTACATGATACATTGTTTATTGTTATCATTAGGTTATGGTATACTGTTACTGTTCTTATGGGGTACCCAATGTATGCTCCTTTTCATCAAAAAGGGTA